GACAGAGTCAGCAACAGCACTGGGATCATCAGGCGAGAAGCAAACCCGCCCCCATGGGTAGGATGCAAAGAAAGACCGCATTCCGTCCCAATCCGCCGACCTGTAATGCCAAACACGGCAACCTGCAGAACGCAACCGCGAGGGGAACGTGAGTGGCACCGCACTCCGGATCAGACAAATGTCCGAAGAGCCGAGAGGGGCATCGACGGAAACCTGATATCCGTCCGGATGAGAGGTCAGCAGAAGGTCCAACAGGGAAGGTGTATGTTCCTCCACATCTGGAATCCGCGTAGGCGAAGTAACCAGTTGTGTCAGATCATATGCCAAGGCAAAGTCATAAACAGATCTCCCCGCGTGATTGGTTAAACGTGAACCGAGCCATTCGGCGTGGTGGGCGTTAAAATCGCCAAGGATCACGATCTCTGCGGATGGGACCTGTTGTAGCAAGGAATCTGTAGCCATTTGGACGTGTTCGATGAGTCGGTCTATTTCGGCATTACCGCTATGGAAGCTATAGAGGCACCCGTAGACGCGCGGATGGTCGTCGCTGATTACGCGTAGCCAAAGGGTGGACAGGTCCGAACCTTCAAGACTGCCGAGGCGTCGAGAACAGAATGTCCTCTCTGACATACACGCAAACTCCAGCCCGAGGCACAAAGGAGTGCTCCAATTTGTACCCCGGGCAGGAGAGATACGAAATATCAGCCGGGGAGGAAACCTGCGTCTCGGTCAGAAAGAGCAAGGCCGGCTTCGCCGTCTCGAGATGGTAGTGGACTGCGTTTAGGTTCGAGTGAAGTCCCCTGATGTTGCAGAAATTCACGGATAGAGTGGCAGGGGTCGCCTTGGTATTGTTGCTCAGTTTGCCCCGAGCAGTAAAGTAAAGTAAAGTGAAATATACTTTACTGTACACCAAGGAACATATTACAGTATTTATAAATTTAAAGGGACATTGGTACAACAGGCGGCCTAATCGCTAAAACAGCGATCTCCTCTAGGAAACCTTAGGGCAGAGGATACTATTTTAAAAGATAGCGGAAGTGGTGTACAGAATATAATATAGAGAGATAAATAGAAGAACATAAGTGATTAAAGGAAAAAAAAGTGAATGAAGACAGGTAGTAACTTAAGAGGAAAGGTAATAAAGTTTTAATTTATTTTTAAATATAGGAAGAGATTTAAATTCTTTAATATGTAAGGGGAGATAATTCCATAGTCGTATAGCGGTAACCGTAAAATAATTAGAATTGAAGGAAGAGGAATGTCTAGGACTACTTAGAAGGAGATTATTTTGAGATCGTAGAGGTAAAGAGTGTAAACTACTTAAATATATAAATCGGTCTTTCAAATAAGAAGGAGTGGTCGGATTGAACAGAATGCAGTAAAGAAGATGAAGAATGTGAGTATTCCTGCGAAGGCGAATCGGTATCCACTTGTGCTTATGGCAGAATTCGGATATGTGGTCATACTTTCGTAACCCAAATACCTTATCCAATAATTTTGAAGCCGCTCAAGTTTATTAAGTTGCTCGACTGTTAGCTCAAGATAACAGGTGTCCGCGTAGTCAAGGATCGGTAAAAGAAGAGACTGAGCCAGCACAACTTTAGTAGAAATAGGGAGAATATTGCGTAATCTTCGAAGGGAACCAACTGCGGCAAACATTCTTCTACTTATTTCACTCACTTCCGGTCCCCAAAACAAAGTCTGATCGAACATAATACCTAAATTCTTAACTTTGTCACTGTATGGGATAAGTGTCCCTTCGAATATGACTGGCGGGAGCAGCGACAAATTTAACCGAGAGATTAATTTCGAAATCCCAATAATAATGGCTTGAGTCTTCAATGGATTAATTTTAAGCCCAAATGAATTACACCAATGAGAAATACGAATAAGATCTTCATTAATTAATCTAATTGTATTGGGGAGATCCGCAATCTTACATTGAGAGTAGATTTGTAAATCGTCTGAATATAGGTGGTAAAGAGAAGTTATGTGGGAACAGATCGAATTGATGAAAATAGAGAAGAATAGAGGAGACAACACGCCACTTTGTGGGACGCCAGCTTTGACAGTAGACCAATCAAAAAACGTGTCTTGTATTTTTACACGTTGCCGGCGCCCTTGCAAGTAACTATGAAACCAACCAATTACTTCAGGAGATATGTTAAGAGAACTTAGGACAGTGAGTAAAACATCAAAGTCTACAGAATTGAAGACATTACTAAAGTCAAGCAATGTCAATACTGTAACCTGTTGATTATCCATGCCCAGGCGAATATCATCAGTGATTCTAACCAAAGCCGTAGTCGTACTATGACCGGGATGGAAACCAGATTGGAATGAATTCAAAAGGTTATGATTGGACAGGAATTTGCTCAGCTGTTGGTATATTAGGCGCTCGAGTACTTTAGAGAGAAAGGAAAGGATGGATATAGGACGGTAATCCTCATATGTCGGATTAGATTTTTTAGGGAGTGGAGTTATGTTTTTGAGCGGAATTTTTTCATTTCATTCATTTGACCAAAAACCTTCGCGGAAATGAAAGGAGGACTGTGTCCAGCTACTAATCGATACGCTTTACTGTAATTTACATTAAAGGCGACCTCGCATCTGCAGTTTTCTTTGTTTAAAGTGATTGCTGGCTTGCAGGTGACCACACTGACTGCAATAGTCACTTTTCGGGAGGACTTTGAGTGCGTTTGTCACTTCGATTGTATATTGAATGTTGAATATTTCTTGTTGTAAATTATGTATTTTAATAAAACTAGTTTGTTGGCACTTTATATCACTTTATATATTTGTTTTAATCAAAGATGTTTTGACCTATAAAACATCTTTGGTTTTAATATAACAGACTTTTAATAATATATTATAAGTAAATGTAGAGAGAGGCGTTGAGCCTGCAAATGTGTTGACTAAAAAGTGTGTCAAGAAAACACAAGCGACTAAAACTAGACTATGTTTTGCGTTCTTAATTTAAATTTAATATTTTAAGTTCTTAGTTTAAATATAATATTAAACATTGAAAAATAATTGTACAAAAATATTATTAAGTTCACTAGTTGTAAAAAAAACAGAAAACCAGCGTGAAGTAGAGGTTTACCTCTGCGTTTCGCTTGGTGAGTGCAGGTGGCCGGAGGCCCTTTTTACTGGAAATGAGGCATTCCATCTTAGTCCTCACGGGTGACAACGCATCTACATTTTGATTTGTAACAGAGGATGGATGTAGATGTCTATGGGCCGCAGCAACCACTTACCATCAGGTGGACTGTGTGCTCGTTTGTCACCCTTGACTTATAAAAAAAAAAACTTTAAAATTTAATTATATGTATTTCCCTACATGCTTCGCAGTGTCGATGATGATCAGGTAGTCTTTACATTCATGACTACGCTGCTAAAATCTGGGATGATTTAGCACGGTTATTGTTTATTTTAAAATAAGTGTGTTTCATCACTTGCATAATACCCTGTTTATGGTTAATGAGTAAAGGCTGGGGCAGAATATTAGGAGTAACGGGTTTCCCGTTATAACTGAGTCACGATAATAACACAACAATATAAAGTTACAACAATATAAGTTAGACCGCTCTGTGGCGCAGTGACTTAGCAATGAGTTGTTGCGCTGGGGGCCGCGGGTTCGAATCCCGCACTCAACAAGTATTTGTATGGCTTACAAATAATTGTCCCGGGTCTGGATGTTTGTTCTTGTGCAATTTGTGTATGTAAACTGCCTCCGCTATACAGGAGAAAATCATAGTGTGGGGGTAACGTTTAAAAACCCTGTTTTGTCACAATTAATTATTTTTAGTAGGTTGTTAATAAGTCGCGATATAGATTTTTTTTAATTGTGTGTTTCTGACCGATAAATACTTTTTACTTTATTTTACTTCTTTGTGAGGGATTAAAGTTGAAGCTTTTCTTCAAAACTTTTTTTCTAATCTTTCTTTAACGAAAGTAGGTACTGCGTGGTTTCTATAATAATACTTTTTGATTCAGGCTTACGCCCGGTTACCGTTACAATCCATTGCAGTCTATAAAAGTACTGCAGTACATACGCCTCCCCTATGGATTGGCTCATAGGAGGGATTTTACCATAGTTGGGGGTAATGGATATTCTTACCACCCCACTGCCCCACCGCCACTACATGGTCAGGGAGTTCCCGCCCGCTGAAGGCCCACGATTGTTTCCAATTATAGCGTCAAGGAAAATGTATTCGTATTTGTTCCGAGAACAGTCCACTTTGGCTTAACCAGTAGCAACTCACTATCAATCTATTATATTTTGGTTCCGTAGCACTGTGGCTCAGCAGTGAGTTGAGGCGCTTAGGGCCGTAGGTTCGAATCCCGCACGAAACAAGTATTTGTATAGCCTACAAATAATTATTATTCGGGTCTGAATGTTTGTCTTTGTGAAATATATGTATGTAAACTGCCTCTGCGATACAGGAGAAAATCCTAGTGTGAGGGTAACCTTTTTTTTAAAGAGAGAAAAGAGAGCGAGAGCAAGAGAATCTCATCGAAGTCATCAGCCTTCTGAACTCTATACATTAACTCCGTATATATTAATAATCCCCATAAGATACAGTTGCTCTCGTGTCATCTTGTGATAAAAACATGTATAGCCACGCTGCAGCTATATTAGTAGTAAAGTTGTAGCACGAATGGCTCGGCTCGACCGGGGAAGAACCACGCTCTCACAGAAAACCAGCGTAAAATAGCAGCTTAACACTGCTGTGTTTCGTATGGTGAGTGTAGAGAACCGGAGACCATTTTTATTGGAAAAGAGGCATTCTATCTCAGTCCACACGGGTGCCGACGCATCTGCATTTTGATTCTTTATTGAGGATAACATCTATCCTCAATAAAGAATCCTTGAGGATAGACTACCTATGGGTCACAGCAACCACTTGCCGTCAGGTAGTCTGTGCGCTCGTTTGTCAACATATCCTATAAAAAAAAACGAAATAATGGTATTGTGTAGGTTATAATTTTGTACTCACTACTGGCATGACTTGCAAATGTTGAGCAGCATGGTTTAAATGTTCACATTATAACGATATTAGTGGCCTGCCACTGCTGACTTCTGAATCACGTTATATCTGCAAAGAATAAAACATTTCATTACATTTATTTAAAATCAAGTTTCTACATACACATATAATTATTTGGACGTGGAAGGAAAGGAAGAGATCTCCCGCCGGGCAAGGTGTGTAGCCCGGGGAGCGGCCGTGATATGGTGATATAGCAATAAATATGGACAATGAAACAACAACTAGGTGTAGCCACGATTTATGGCCATAATTTTACAATGTCAACCAATATGGCATATGGCGGTAGGCAAGCTCCGGTGGCGGTCTTTTTCGCATATAAAAGATGACAGTGGCCATACTACAGTTTGTTCAGTGTGCGATATGAGTTCAACGGAAATGAACGGCTTTTTGTGCATTTTTATCATCCAACATCTTCTTTTAAGTATTGTTTAGCTTTGTTAAAACGTAAAAGATTCATGTAATAGTAAATGATACTCATAAAGTACAACACCGCCGCAGCATCAACCTCCACCTTGAATAAATTAAAAGTAAAATAAACTTTTTTTTTGAAACAAGCTTTTATTTAAAAAAAAAATTATATAGGATAAGGGTGACAAACGATCTATCTACATCTATCCTCTATTACAAATCAAAATGTAGATGCGTTGTCACCCGTGAGGACTAAGATGGAATGCCTCATTTCCAGTAAAAAGGGCCTCCGGCCACCTGCACTCACCAAACGTAACGCAGAGGTAAACCTCTACTTCACGCTGGTTTTCTGTGAGGTCGTGGTACTACCCCGGTTCGAGCCGGCCCATCCGTGCGACACTGCCCGGCACTGCCGCGTGGCTCTACCACTGTTAAAACTGTGGTTAAAAGAATAAAATAACCTTTTCCTTCAAAACTTTTACTATCAACTTATAACGTCATTACACAATTTATATGATATAAAAGCTTCTCATTCAACGCATCATTGTTGCAAGGTCGTTTGTCGGTTAATTTCCAACAGTCTAGCTCTTCAATAAGGAGACATTCTAATGATTTTACCTTACTTAAGGCCACGTATAGCTCTGCCACGTATAAATAATATAAATTTTACATAGGTTTTTTTGATAAAATCTACAAGTTTTTGGATAAAAAACCTAGATCGCTTCTGGTATTGCTCTCTATATGGATGTAAAGTTTAAACTGAATCAGTTTAGCCATTCCGAAGATATGCGCACACAGACTAATAAGCAAGTAGAGCCATGCTGCAGCTATATAGTATAGTTGTAGCACGAATGGGTCGGCTCGTACCGGGGAAAGACCACGCTCTCACAGAATACCAGCGTAAAATAGCAGCTTAACGCTGCTGTGTTTCGTATGGTGAGTATAGAGAACCGGAGACCCTTTTTACTGGAAACGAGGCGATTCCATCTTAGTCCTCACGCGTGAAAACGCATCTGCATTTTGATTCTTTATTGAGGATAGATGTAGATGTCTATGGGTCACAGCAACCACTTACCATCAGGTGAACTGTGTGCTCGTTTGTCACCCTATCCTATAAAAAAATACCCTCCTGAGCTATAGAAGCCAGTTAGTTATACAGTATTATATACAGACACTGAAATTTTATTTGTAAGGTACTTATAGATGTATGGTGATAATGAAACCAATTTGTTTCAGACATTCTTTATATAGACATGATTGCAGAAACTTTATTAAACATACTATTGTCATTGAATTGACATCTTGTTGGTCGATATTAAAATGGCCTCCAATTATATACATGAAATATAATGCAGAGTATACAATACCCTCACAAATTACGTATGTTGTCGGCATATCTGATCACATCTACGCAGCAAGACAGTTATTAATACGTGAGAGGCCAGGAAGAGGCGGTGCTGTATGAAACGCATGGATGCCGGTTATTGCGTGACATTGTTATCAAGTTTCAAGCGTGACATTGTTTGCAAATAACGTGCTAGTAACACGCTCTCTGCCTTCCAGCATGTTGCTTCGGCTTTTTATATAGAACAAGGGAAAACGAGCACGCGGCTCACCTAGTGGTAAGTGTCGACAGCCGCGGGATATTTCGTTTAACCACCCTGAGATGTATGCTACCTTATTGCACTAATAATAAAGAATATGTTATTTAAGTAATTTTACCTTAGGCTGGCTGTTTTAGGCTATTTTATACCAATAGATATTTGACATGTACGAATAATATGCCAAATTTTTGTGCCAAATATCAATTACTTGGCGATTGAGACTCTTGCGAAAGACGGGTATTTCGGTTAGTCCTATGGCTAGGCAAATAAAGTATATTGTACGAGTACATACATACAAATTTCCAGCAAGTGAAATAATACTTTTGGTGTGACTTTATTACTGAATCAAGTTTTGTGAAAAACAATTGTGTAAAAATGTTGGGTTTATGGTCAGCGGTGGTAGCTCAGATGGTTAGCGTTCGCTGTAAAGTTCACGAGCAACCAGGGTACGATCCCCGCCGAGACCAATGTAATTGTTAATTGCAATTTTAAGTGCTGATTTACCACGCGCTCATCGGTGAAGGAAACATCGTGAGGAAACCTGCATTTCTGAGAAACAAGAAAAAAAAGATTGCGAAGACATGTGAAGTTCGCCAACATGCATTGGGGAAGCGGAGCGGACATTTCCTTGCCCTAAAAGCCTCTCAGAAATGAGAGGAGGCCTATGACCAGCAGTGGGACATATATAGGCTGTAACTTTAAATTTTATGGTTACTATTTCTTTTATTTCGCTGCAATAAACGCCCCGTCAGTTTTAAGAGCATAAGTGTGACATCGGGACGGGAAATTTAGGATAAAAAAGAGATACAGTACGATGATATTACTGTAGGATCACTGTCATAATTTATTCACTATTAATAAACCTCATCTGTGAAAAAAATGAGTGCATTTTTAATGTACAAAAATTAAGTAAAGATAAGCATTTATGCGTCTCTCTGCAGGGCACAGGTCAGCTGTTCTGAGAAGGATTTTATTGAAAGGACGGTGCGCCGCGCTGCCCCATTGTATGGCCACAGATGTGTGTGTTCCTGTGTGTGTGTCTCTCTCTCTCTCTCTCTCTCTCTCTCTGTGTGTGTGTGTGTGTGTGTGTGTGTGTGTGTGTGTGTATGTGTGTGTGTATGTGTGTTTCGTAATATAATTTGTTTCTCTGACATAAAACTAAGTGATAGCTAACCTTTTCTGCCCATAATTCCATCTGGATATTGTAATTACAGGCTGTGTATTCCAAGTCCCAACTTAGTAGTAATCTGTGACTTAGTCCTCAAAGGTGACAACGCGTCAATAGCTACGTACTTACTTACAATACTACTTACCATATGCTGGATTGTAATCGATCGATCGTTTGTCACTTCAGTTTTATATAAAAAATACAATTTTCCTCGCGTTGTTTTCCTTCACCGCCAAGCAAGTTGTAAATCAACACTTAAAATTGCTATTAACAATTTCATTGATAGAGATCAAACCCAGGTTGCTCTTGTATTATGATGTTTGAGGCGAACGCTTTGCTTTTGACCTACCCTGGCTCTTGTGATTTTTAACTTCCCCCATTGAAAATTAATAATTTTCAAAAATAGGAAGTTATAGATTTGGATTTAGATGGGCGACACCGCGTTCGAATGTGTTCATTGAGACTTCGAGCTGATTAGATTTTGAAGTCAATCGGTCGAGCCGAGAGCGTGGTCCTTCCCCGGTCGAGCAGACCCACTCGTGCTACAACAATACTACTAATATAGCTGCAGCATGGCTCTACCACGTACAAAAGTTTCGAGCGTTACGCTCGTAAATAAGCGGAAAGTACCAGGGATGGCCTGCAGAGTCAACCGTTTTTCAGATATCTTATATAGTAATACTAAGTATATATCACTATTCTGTTTTTTATTGAAAAAAACTTTTTAAAAGGATTTAATCACATTAGATATTTCTTTTAGAAAAATACTAAAACACTATTAACATTACTAATATTCTCGTTGAGTCATAAAGGTCTGAGTAGTGGGTTTTCTGGATGATTCTTTAGCACACGATAACTTTAGTCATCAACTTATGAAGCATCAATTTCAATAATATTCTTAATACACAATGACGGTAATTCCGATGTTTACAATGTAAGTTTAAAGAGGTAACGACATTGTTCCCGACTGTATGCTGCAAGGAGACATGTGGATTGTTCCGTGGCATTGTCGCCATATTGAGAAATTGCTTTAAAAAAAAAGAAAGGATGATAAACGAGAATTTGCCGTGTAGGTGGCGCGATAGATTCTACACGTCCGCCCATCCTACTACTGTCGTGGCTTTAAAAGTTAGTGTCATCCTCAATGTTCAGAAGAGTGACATTACCAATAAAAAAATGAATAAATATAGTTTAAGCATTTTTTATTTAATAATACTTTGTAATGTTGTGACCCCTATATGAATGCATACATCAAAATTAAGCCAAGCCTACTTACAATAAAATGTAATGTGTGCACTGCTGGTAACCTATGAATAAATAAATAAATACACTTTTTGGCTACATTAAACGTAGCTTAATAGTCTAGGGTTTAAAGAAGAGTACTAATTTATCAGGGAAAATAGTCCCACAGTCGCGACGGCACAGCCCTTGCGAAATTTGACTTTTGCTGTCAAATTACATCTTTAAAGAACAATGGCCAAATTTCTATAGGAGCTGGACTTGACTTTTATTTTTCATGTCCCAAAACAAGCTATAGCTAGGTTGGTTTACTTTTATGTTGTAAACACCATCCCGTATGAAAATCATATATAAATTGCCACATTTTTTTTTAATAACTTCAACAATACCTTTGAGGTTAGCATCACATATGTAATCTTCTTCAGTGATATAAAATAAGAATTAGATTTTTATTATGATGTACGATTGTATGTGATGGCTTATGTTAGTGTAATAAAATAAGTAAGTATGTAAATATGTACTATTATTGAAGAATTCCACTCGCGGATATTAGAAATTACTC